CCCCCCCCCCGTGCAGTTCTTGTTCCAGCTGGGAGCAAAAAGCTAAACAGAAACCATCTGCATCTGTCCCAGGCCAAATATAAATATTTAGAACATGATATTTTGTGAATATTCTGAATGAATAATTGAGATATAGCATAGCCATACCTGTCTGTAGAAACATCTTGTATTATAACCATGGTTTATCACTTTAAAATAGTTGTATTGGGGTGGGGTGGCATCCAGAACAACTTTCATCATGACAGCAGGAAGCAGAAGTCAATTGCACATTTCCATTACACACACAGACACACACACACACACACACACACACACACACACAATTTGCTGCAGAAGACACTTCAGATTTGTATGTGTAAACCCTCTCTTCAACAGGCAAGAGAGGGTTTATGTGAATGACAATTTCCTCAGAAACACACACACACACACACACAAAATTACTGATAGTGACAGTGACCTATTATTCTAATTTACCATGCATGGCTAGAGAACAAAATGGGAAATACCACAAAAGGAGAAGAGTTACCTGTTATAATATTGTTTTTGGAAAAAGGCTCCGACTTCTTCCTCACATTTGATAACATGTTTTCTTCCTTGTCTCAAATAATCACACCAAATAATGATCTCAGGGCACCATCTAACTCTTGTTTTCCCCCCAAATATTTTCCATAAATTAGTCTTGTAGCCATTCATAGTAGCTTTTACTCTGATGCCTTCTAATAGATTAAAAAGTATTTTCTAGGATCTAAAGGGAGCTCAGTCTTCCAAAATGTTTGAATAGCAATTTTAAGCAATAGCCCAAAGCCCCTTTTTCTGTGGGAGATTGGCAATACAGAAGCATCCTTGCTCTCCAATTACATTTTCAATTTATTTCCTATACGTATAATATATCCCATAAGGATATATCCTATGATGTAAATGTATTCTATAAGGCAAGGATACGCAATTTGGAGCTCTTGGGTCACATGTAGTTCACCCCGTTTTTTTAAACCCCCACACCTGCATTTTTGGGTGCCATACCTATTTCAAACGAATAATTATGTTTTGATCAAACAAAGAGTGTCACGTGTGTTTGTATCTGCCACTGAGTTCCATCAGGGGCAAGGGTGTTGCAGCAGGGGCAAGGGTGGGGTGGGAGAAATCAGTTCCCAGACTCACAAGACAAAACCTTGTTGTTTAGAGGAGTAAACCACGCTAGAGTAGGCCCACTGAATCAATGGGGATCTAGTGAGTCAACTCCTCCATTAGTTCCATTGATTCAAGCAGACCTAGAGTACCTGCGACTTACTTTGCTAAAAAAATAATAATAATCTTGTACTGTAATTTAGAGCAAGCCCATTTAAATAAGTTGAACATACGGAAGAGGTGACTTGCTACATCCCCATTGATTCAATAGGGCTACTCTGGTGTGACTTACTACACAAAGCAGCAGGATTGTTGCCACAGAGTTCATTTCCTGCTGTTATAAGGTGTTACAAGGACAATATCCTTGTGTCAACCATTTAAGAAAATTCTTCTTCAAAATAGTACAAGGCATATAGGTAAAGGTAAAGGTTCCCCTTGACAATTTTTGTCCAGTCGTGTTCGACTCTAGGGGGCGGTGCTCATCCCCGTTTCCAAGAAATAGAGCCACCGTTTTTGTCCGAAGACAATCTTCCGTGGTCACATGGCCAGTGCAACTTAGACACGGAACGCTGTTACCTTCCCACCGAAGTGGTCCATATTGATCTACTTGCATTGGCATGCTTTCAAACCGCTAGGTTGGCGGGAGCTGGGACGAGCAACGGGAGCTCACTCCATCGCATGGATTCGATCTTACAACTGCTTGGTCTTCTGACCCTGCAGAACAGGCTCCTGTGGTTTAGCCCGCAGCGCCACCACGTCCCTGGGCATATAACCATGTCATTTTTTCCAAATCCAGTATATGATTACTATTGTTCTGGGGATCTCAGCCACTTACTTAGAGCTCGCTTGTCTGGTGTCTGGCTCAGGAGATACGCTTCTAGGACAATAAATGTGGGACAGAGTCCCTGCCTCATAGTACACCTGACTGGCACTTTTATTTAATGTTTTGTTTAGCCTGTTCATTGGAAGGTGTTTGAAGCTGCAGTCTTATATACACTTACAGGTATTTGAGTTTAAGTCCTATTGACCTCATTAGACTTTATTTCTAAATAGATATAGAACAAATAGGTTGGGCTATAACACTTACATGTTCTGTCAAGTATTCAGTGTTCAATAGTGAATGGGCTCTTTAATGTGCCTGATGCATTTTCTGGTTGTTTTTGAAACACTTCTCACAGCAGCTTATAGACTGAATATCTCTAATCAGAAACCTTGATGCATGTTTATACTCTGCTACATTCAACCGTGTCCCATATAAGAGTGACTGATAGTTCAACATCTGTTGGAAATGACTGAGATTTTCATTTTTTTAATGATATGAAAACAAATTAGGAACCAAAATGTTTGGAATAAATGAACTAATAATACTAGATAGACATGAGCAAAAAGACGTTCACATCTAGTGCTTGGAAGTAGCTACCGGTATGAATCATAAGTTACCTGTAATAAATTCTCTTTTTGCAGTAACTGCGTCAGAACTGTCTTACAGTATGATCGTAACAGAGTGTGATATGGCCTCGCTCATTTTGCAGTGCCATGACTTCTTCAAGATACTTTTACCCTTGTTGGGATCACAAGCCAATGTCTTGACCATTCTGGTGTTTTCTAAACATAACTTAAATATACCATTATTATTACCTTAGAATAATGGAATGTATTATGCTTTAAAATTATAATTATGACAACAGCCAGCTGCTTGAGCTTCAGAAAGATTGCCTAATTACTTTTAGAAGTAACCTTCCGAATTCTGTGTAATGAGTTAAAGAACTTTTAAAAAAGAAAGTTGCAAACTTGCATGAAAAAGTGTTGGGAAAGGATGACAGGGAAATAGTCACAAGTTATTAAACGAAAAAGTAAAAATAGAAAGACAGTTGATGTTGAAATAAACAATAAAAAAATCTGGTTGACATTGTGTTTATTCTTCCATGCTAGACAGGGAATAGCATAGGAACCCGAGCTTCTAATCATATCTACGTTATTAACTTTATTTCTGTCTTTTCAGAGGAAGACGGTGGTGACCTCCTCAAGACCGGGATCAGTTTTCCAGGGACGCCAGAGGAAGAGCTAGGTACAGATCTTGTTTCTTATCTAAATTGGTCTAAACAAGGACTAAAAAACCCCTTCAATTGTTTGAAACAATGGCTGAAATTTAGTAGTAAGATGCAACTGGAGTAGGCCCAATCTATTAGTGGTGATTGAGTGAGTTTAACCCTCTGTAAGTTCCACTGATTCATTGGACTTACTCCAGTTGTGACTTCTGACTGGATTTCAGTCCATCTGCATGCTTATATTTTTTTTTCTTTCAGTTTTACCATAGAATTGCCTAGTGCAGAGGTCTAATTCCATACCTATGGGTTAACTTTTGGAACTTGTGAATAGTTACATGTGTTATTTGGCATAGTTTCTTCCTTCCCCCCCCCCACCACAAATACCAACTGTCTCCTCCAGCTGAAAAGCAGAGCATGAAAAAGAGGTGTTCCATCTGTCCATATTGGTCTAAATAAATTAAATGCCTTTATCTACACTGTAAAACTGACTCAATGCAGTATTACTCTGGAGAACACTGACCTAACCATGCCCATTTCGGATGCTTTATATACATTATGTGCCTGGCATCCCAAGTAATGGTCTTAGGAAAGGTCTGCTTTGCCACATGTGCACAGTATTAACCAGCCCACCTATCAGAGGCTTCCCTGTTGCTTTAATCACAGATGATGGTATGTACATAGGGTGCTATATCCCTCCTGTTCCCTTGGCTCAGCGTGCACAGCTGCAGGCACAGTGCCCCCCCTTTTTTAACTTCAAACAGAGCCATTAAATGCATGTAGCATCCACTGAAATATTACGAGGCATACATTGTTTGTCGGTCACCTGCATGTACATGTTGTTGCATAGTATTTATGTGAGTTGGCTATTGTCACTTTGAAATGCAATGAAGAGGAGGAACATTGAAGATCTTCTGTAGACCTTCCTGACATAGTAGCCTTCACCCCAACAGTGAATTCTTTGTCATTAAAAATACAGCTACTTTAAGCAACAGTTTTATTTTTGCAACATTGGCAAATATAAAGAATCATATCCCTTTCTAGACTATGGGCCACATGATAGTTACATCCTATTTGTTGGCCGTCTTGTACATTGCAATTAGAACACAACGTGCTGGGCACAATGGAGGCAAAAGAAAACACTGGTAATGATGTGCCAGGAATGCCGTGTTGGGTAATTGTGGTGCGAATGACGAAACCTCCAGCCATTCTTGTCTTGGTTGCCTGTCTCTTCCAGAAGGGGCATGGAGTCTGGCTGCAGCCAGAGGACTTGCTTTGGTTCTAGGAATCACTGGTTGACGTGAGCCAAGCTGCCTTGGTTTTAAACGCTTCCACTTGTTACTGCCTGAGCTGGCCTGATTCCTGAGGAGGAAACAAAAAGGCAGAAGGTTCTTGGAAAGGAGGAGCCGAAAAAGTAAAGCCTTTGCTAATTGGAAAGATGGAAGAGGTGGTAGTGGTGGTGGTAATAGTGTAGGAGAAAATAAAGTTGGAGGAACAGGTCAGGGAGGAGAAGGAAAAGTGGAAGACCATACAGCATTGAGAGACCACAGTCCAGTTTAAAATAGCCAGTTGAGTCTTCTGTCGCAGACATCTATTTACTGTAAGTTTGATAGGCAAGAGTGAAAAATGCAAGCTTTCCGTTTGAACTGCAACCAATGAAATATAAGAAATGGCTAATATTGGCTCAATCATTCTTATCCTGATTAGTAATATGTGTGTCATATGGATTGTTGAACTTGATGTACTGTTTGAAAGGAACATTTGTAGTATTGTGGACCATTCCTGATTATCTATTGATAGCTTCATTTAGAAGTTGCACAAATATCATTCCCCAACACTACCACCACCACCACCACATATACACACACTTATGTCCCGTTTTGCTTTAACTTTAGTATTGTTTGATCCTGTTTGAATTTGGCCTAAGCCCTGTTCAGGTATTCTGTCAATGCAGATAATAAACATGCAGGGCGGGATGTGATGACATTTCAAAGAGGAGAGCATCTAAGCATAGAGACTCTTCACAGGATTCAGAATGCTGGGAAACCAAGGTACTGAATCTCATGGTGAGCCTCAACAGATAAAGGAGGTTTCCTCTTCAGGGAAGCTCTCTAGATAAGGAGAGCAACAGAAATACTGTCAGATGAAGGCCAATGTATTCCCTACATGTTTTATTAAATACATTTATAGAATGGTCACAGAGAACTCTAATCAACATAAAACACATTTATTTGAACTGGCAAATAAAGGTGCAAATTGTAGAGGAAAAATTAACTTCTTTTACATTAACACCAATAAAATCAAGGCAGTTCTACGTTATACATTATATAATGTATAAACTATATGCATTATATGCTAGATACTGGGTACTAGATATACTAGATATTAGATTGTAGATTTTTTTTAAAGAATATTTAGGCTGCAGTTCTGTGGTCCTGGAAAATTTGTACCGGAGGCCTCTGGTGGGAAGATCCAGTTGATCCCTCCCCTCCAGGCTCCTTTGCCAAGGCTGAAATTTTTGACCTGGGGAAGCAAAAAGGAGGGGGATGTGCTGGGGGTCTTGTGGTGGTGTGTGAGTGAGAAGACAGATCTGTGGGATCCACCGCCTGCTCAGCCTTCTGGTAGGAATGTATTGTCTATAAAGCAGAGGGCCAGGGGGAGACTCTGCAAAGTATTTATGCTGGTAATGCCATCTTCCCAATAAGAATGTGACAGAGCTTTTAGATGGGACAGTGTGCAGGATCAAAATCCTCTGCCTGTTGAGCTTCCTGCCCTTAGGACTGCAGCTGTAGCTTACTAATATCTTAAAATATAGACAGTGCTGTAGCTATTTCAGTTCCGTTTTGTTCTCTGTCCCTAGTTTTTGGATCCTTCCTTTTGTTATGACTCACAACTAAAACAATAGGCTTTGAACAGAAGTGATTAAAGGCAATGCAGAGCAAATCTGCAGAAAAACTGATAGCACTTAGTTGTGACAGTACTCTGTGTTCTTCTTCTGCATGTCTGAATTTAATATTTCTGAAAACAAAACGAATTGTGCTTTAGAAAAAAATAATTTAATTGGGTAGATTTGCATCTTATAATATTAAGAAACAACATTGTGAAATAATCATCAAAAAGCAACGCCATTGCACATTTTTTAAAAGTCTCTTCAATGTTAGCACTAGAGTTTAACACAGTGACAAACTGCTTTGTGAAAACTTTTTGGGTGGAGATGGTTTAGTGCGCAGTTTTGTAACTTTGAAAAATCTTGTAGAAATGTTCTGCAAGGAATGTGTGGGTGGTTATAGATGTTCGGTTCCCAGCAGTAAGAACACCAATACTGAATAGAAGCATTTGATGTTGGAGTACTAGGATACTTAATCCTTGTGATAAATTATATTTCCACGTATGGTCACTATTCTCAAATGAGAAGCTCAAGAATACTAGCTTAAAGTATTTTCATCTTCATGGATACCAAGTTGTAGTAAAGATTATATGCCATCAAGCCATTTCTAAGTTATGGCAACCTTCATAGGATTTTTTAAGCATAAAGTCCTCTGAAATGATTTATAGGTCCCTCCTCCTGTTGTACATTTGAGACCATGCAGCTTCCTAAAGGCCACACAGGCGACAGGGCCAATAACCACACATATGCTGGGTAATCTTGGTTTGCTCCTTATCTGGGAGGACAATGGGGATTTAAATTACTACAGCCAGGCACTCCGTAATACTACGTCAAAGCCACTGCTCTAAAAATGTCCTACTTAACCAAGAATAACTTCTAGGCCAAATAAGTATTAAGGGAGATTTAAAAAAAAATAGTTCCAGCATTTATTCCTCACAATGTTGTCCCAGTTAAGAACACAGAATCTGTACTGGGTTCCTTCAAAGACTCCATGAAAAACTAAAAAAATAGTTCCAGTATTTATTCCTCACAATGATGTATCAGTTAAGAACACAGAAACTGTACTGGGTTCAATGGTTGTTCTGGGTTTTTCGGGCCGCTGATTTTACTCCCAAGAATACTAGACCACATCTTTCTCCTGTGTACATTAGTGTTCAAATTAGTTAGTTATATGCCGCCAAATTGGAACTGACTGACGGTGACTCTAATAGGGCTTTCGGGGTAAGTCAGATACTTAAGGAGTGGTTTTACCAGTTCCGCCCCCCCCCCAGTGAGTTTCCGTGGCTGAGCAGAGATTTGAACCCAGATCTCCCGAGTCCTAGTCCAGCAATTTAGCCACTACACCACACCAGCCTCCCTTCATGGACTACAGTCCAATTCATTAGATTCAGTGGTGGCTAGAGCCCTTTTTAGATATGCTGATT